GCAAGGCTAGATCACCTCTGCAGGCACTGTGCACCTGTGCCCTGCACTTCCATACTCACCTCAACCACTGATGTGTGCCTCAACCCCTTTGTCCTTGGTGGTGTGCCCACAGATGCTGGATTAAATCCTGCTGCATTGTTTATTGAGTGCCCTTGAGTGCACCAGCCCTGTGAAAAATAAATAGGCAGTACCCAGTTGTATGTATCTTGACAGAAGAGGGCTGTTTTAAATTTGAATGAGTAACCTTTTTTTCAAGTTTCTTGTCAAATTTCAAGCTCCTTAACTTTTGAGTGTTTGATGTAATGCTTTCAACATTGTTCTGGCAGAGGTTTTTTTTAATTGTTATTTTTGGGAAAAAAACCCCACCAAAATCAAACAGACAACATGAGACAAGCCAGTACCTGGGTTCTAGATAAGCCCTAGAAAAGCTCACTGGAAGACCCTGGCCCTTTAATCTTTAACTGCACCTGGAAGAAACCACAAGTTAGGCAAGTGTGAGAAGAGGAGGTTTGGCCTGAAGTTGTGGGTTTCACCTGCTGACTCAGAGCCTGGGAAGCCAGGAGCGGGGACAAAAGGTGTCTTGTGATGGACTCCCAAGGAAAAACTAACATAGATTTGATAAACTATAAACCTTTCTTGTCTTGATTTTCATCAGCATATTGATGAGATGGTGCAAGTTAAATAGACATTTAAATACACCTTTGTTTCTAATATGCTTGTTTGTGATTACCTAACAGAATATTTTATATAACTATCATAACTTGTAACTATTTTCTGATCTTTCCTTGAACCACATATCACAGAGGTCTAGCAAGTTTCAAGGACAAAGATCTGATAGAGAACAAACTATTTTTGAGTATTGAGGTAACTTTCCTTCAGTTTCCACACCAATCAGTAAGAGGTTTTATAGTTTCAGTGGCAGTGAAGCAGATGACAGCTATTCTGAGTAGGTTGTGTTGTGTAGTGTACAAAGGCAAAGGCAAAACCTGCTACAGACAAAGATTGGTCAATGCTGCCTTCTTAGCTGCTCTGAGAAAGAGTTGAACAGTTGAACGTCTGTGTGCTCCTTCCATAAGCCTGTTTGTTAGTCTTTCCTTGGTATATTTAGTTTCCTGAAAGTTAGGTTTTTTCTTCCATGGTGCTATTCACAGATAACCTTAAAAATTATTTTCTTGCTGTCTGTTTGTATTTAAACATCCCCAACCCTACCAATATTTTCTGTTTAAGTTGATTTTGGTCTCTACCTTGTTTCCACTTTGTCCTGTACTTTCTGCATTTCCTTTTCCAAATAATTATCAGACTGTCTCTAACACTCTCTTATGCCTGGGAGTAGCAGGAAGAGCACAGAGCATGGGGAGACACGAGGTCCCATTTTTAAGAGGAGGGCTAAGGCTGGTTTTGCTGAGCACTGAAAGCAATTCAGCAAGATGTGGACACTTGGGATAGCAGACTTCAACAGGCATTTTTTAAAAAAATTAAATGATGAGCAGCATTTTAGAGCAGAAAGCTGTCATTTTACCTGTGATCAATGCACATGAATGCTACTGCTATCTTGCCCCACAGGCTTAAGTGAAGGATGCAAGAGGAGGTCTCTGGATGTCTCTGACATGTCACTTTGTGCAGCTCAGCTGAGGAAAAAACACAGAAGGTGCATAGCAAATAGCAAGTAAGAGAGTATCTCTAATAGCCAAATAGTTCCCATTGCCACAGCCTCCTCAAGGGTTAAGGTACCCTTGCTCTGCAGTGGTGTTCAGCTCCTGAGCCACAAGGGCAGAGATGGGTGAAAGCTTCATTCCAGGTTTCACTTGGCATCACACCTGGGTTATAACCCTTGATGTAAATTCTGCCAAACCCTGGTTTCCTAACAGAGACTTTAAAAAACAACAAAAAAAGTCCAAGTCCTCTTAACGTTTTTTTAAGGTGCTACTCTAGTTTCCAAGAATCCTGTATCTACTGTGTTTTGAAATCAGCTATGTTTGTGTAACTGTTGGCTAACAGGATTTTATAACAGTATGCTTCAATTTCCGATAATGAAATATCTCTTGCAACCTGATACTCTGGGGTACAGCTCACAATTTATACAAGATAAGGTAGCACTGCCAGCCTGTGTCACATCCTGCCAGTTAGGTTCACAAAAGGTTGAATTTGAACTCGATTTTCTCAAGAACTGTGGGGTTTTTTTAAATTAAATTTCTATAAAAATCAGGGAGACACAGAAAAATTTGTGTTTGTTGGAATCGACGGTCAATTTCTTCACTTGAAGTAGGGATTGATGGGGGCTGCTGTGAGGTTTTTGAGTGCTCAAAACTGAAAATACAACTTCTAAGCTGAGAAAGCTAATTAAATGACACCATTATAAAAGAGGATATCACCCTAGACCAGAGACAATCCTCTCTGAAATAAATATCCATAATTTTTATGGTTAAAGTCTTACTGTTAAACATATTATAGTAACTATATGCAATTTCTCTTATGTGAAACAAGATTCACTTGCCTCAATAGGGTTGGAATTTTTTGCCATCTTTTTACTTGTACTAGGATCTTGGTTCTTAAAAACAGCTTCTATAGCATTTGGGGAATAACTAATTTTCTGATTTAAAGATCTTAACTTTATGTTGCACTTCTGTAGCAAATTATTATAAAGGAAGAAAAAAAAAATTAACCTCTATTTTCCTGTTGTGGTTGTTATACATCAGGAGTATTGCTCATTACGTTTCTAAGGAAAGATTTTATCAAAATTATTTATGTTACCATAGCAGAACACAGCAACAATTTATTTTGATTCTTCATGTGCCCAACCTCTCTGTCCATTAGAAAAAAGAATTTATCCATAAATGGAGAATTCACATGTTTCACAAAAAATAGGCTGAAATGCTGTTTTTTCAAACAGCATTTGAGGGTACAAATTGATAGGGTTATACACCAACACATCAGAAAAATGCCATATCAAAATAAAAAATATAACAGTTTCTGGACACTTCTTCTCTGTGGGACTGCAAAGAATAATCAAGTAACATTACAGATGAAGTATGAACTATGAAGGGGAAAGTACTGTCTAGCAGTTCTCTGACTGGATCTGAGGAGCTCTTATTTTTCAATAAGATAATAATGCTCTGAGGAGCAGCATGTATGTGTTTGATTTGGTTTTCTCTCCTTTTATCAATGATAATGGCTAAAACAGAAGAAATTGGGCTTTTAGAACCGGCCTAGATACTTTGCTTATTGGTGTAATAAATACTAGCCTGTGACTGGAAAATAAAAATCTTATTTTTCTTAACTGGATGAAAAACACCCTGGTGTCTTGAAGTCTAAATCTGTTTAGATATAGATGTTAAAGCATTTGTAAGATTTTTCACATTAAGGGTCTTAACAAGAGATGTCTACAGTCATTTTGCAAACCCCAATGTGGTAGAAATAATGTTTTTATTAACTAAAGGAGTAGGATGCCCCAAAACTAGTTGGAGATACATGTAAATGAATATGTTTTTTCTGTTCAGAGAGTAAAAGATGATGTTGGTAGAGATTTTTTAGAGGGGAGGCTTTGGTGACTTTTTGTGACAGGTTTGCTTAAAAAAGAAAAACTGCATAGTTAGGCTCAAAAATTGCTAGTGAGGTTTGCTTACTAAAATACTAGTATTTAAGAGGTAGTTTTTGTAAACCTTCAACCTTTCTAGCAAATATATTGTGGCTGGGTCAGGTCTACCCCCAGGAAGATTAAAAGGTATAAATTTAACCTTTTTTCTCAATGTAACCATAGAGTTAGAATTGCCATGGCTCTTTTGGCTGAAATGGGATCATGGTCATAGGTCTCAAAACAAGCTGCTTTGGAAAGCACGTTCACACTTTGAAATCTATCCAGCATGGTCCTGGGTGTGCTTTTTCCATTTCAGAATCCCAGTCTGCCCTCTTATCAGTTGGAGTGCTGCATGCTACTTGGAGATGGATCATGCCTTGCCAAAAATTTGCCAGGGCTTGAAATGAACAGGACTAGATCCTATCTCTGCTCCTCAGGGGAGGCTTGGGAACATCACTGCCCAAAGTCCAGCTTCCCAGGGGCTTCCTGCACAGAGCCAAATGTGGGGGAGGAGATTGTGTTTAATGCATGAATTTTAAAGCTAGTGCTTTCTTTTGTTTTCTCCCTCAGGAAGTGTGTAAATGGCAGTGGATAAGCCTAGGACTCCCTCACTGCAAGGTGAGAATGTGAGAATTTGCTGCTTGTGGTACTCTGTTCTGCTCAGCTGTCCCTGCCCACCAGCTGCCCAAAAGGAGTAGCAGTGAAAACATTTTGTGAAAAGGTGCTTCTTGCTCCTATTTGGAGACTTGAAGTCTTTGTGATGTTGCTTGCTATAACATCAAGAGAGATGTCTGTGTTTGAACTGATTGAACTTCCACTCTTCCCAAAGTATTTTGTGCTTTGCTCATTGTTTTGGGAAAAGACAAGTGGCCTTCTGACACTGCAATCTAATTTTCTGAGGGAATGAGCTGTTTTAGCAACAAAATGCAATCTTTAGCATCTTAAACACTCTGTCTACTTGAATTGAGTGCAATATCTTTGTGTGCTTTATACAGACTAGATTCTGAAACTAGAAAAATTGATAGTAAACTGTAGTTACAACTGTAGTTGTAACTGTAATTGTAACTGTAGTTACAGGTAGTAGTAATATTTTTATAAAATGAAAGGTGGATGCTAATGAATCAGTGAGTGGTTCAGTGTGATACAGCACAGGCTCTCTGACTGAAAGTGATGTCTAAAACCTAAAACTGTAATTGCTCCAGTGAAGTCAACCTCTCTCCACCTCTTTTGAGGCAGAAACTAGTAAGTACTTCAAAACACTTCCAACTATGATGCCACGGGCAATTTTAACTGCAGCATTTCCAATATCCCAAGTCAAACCTTGGAATTTTCTCTAATCTTCTCAAAAGTATGGAGACAGGCTGCCATGAGAAATGAATTCTGAGGTATTCCCAACCCTCCAAAAGGGAGAAACACATCAGGCACATCAGTTCAGGCACATTTTAATCATGTTAATCACTAGCATATTTGGCATTTTACTAAGGCTAAAAAATATCACAATATGATTAATTTTATATTTTAAGATACAGAGAAATTGCAATCAACCTGAAACACAGATACTTCATTATCCTCTGTGGTGGCTGAAAGGCCATTCTTTAAAGCTGGCAGATTGTGAGTCGATACATATTGCATTTTTTGTCATTCCAGGTGCCATCAGTGTACATCTCCACACATTTCTCTCTCCCTTTGCTGTTAGGCTCATGCTGGTGCCAGTTGCTATAATTCAGAGGCATGCCATTTATATACTTAAACTGACCTGAAGTCTCCCCCTTTCTAATGCCCAAGTAGGCATATTGGTTATGCTGTTTCACAATGTCCATAATAGCTTTATTCTCCTCTTCGTTCCTGGGAGCTGCAAGAGTTCCTCCAACCTCTTCACAGGATTGTAGTGCAGATGCAAAGTCAGCTTTCTTCCCATTGCTGGCAAATATTTTCTCTCCTACTTTTCTTATTTCCCCGTTCAATGCAAGCACTGAAACATGAAGAGTTAGCTTTGTAAATTTTCTGTGGCATACTGATGTAAAAGCAAAGGAAGAGAAATCAAGAGATTTCAAGAGAAATCAAGAGAAAACTAAACTAAAGAGGAAACTAAAACTGATAAGAGGAACAGAGGGATAAATTGAGCAAAGGATGAAGAGGAGTGAAGATCTTTAATTTTACCCATTCACTAACTGTTCACTAAATGTATTTCACTGCTTGTGACCGTCTGTCCTTGTCTCCAAGACAAGGATGTCCCACCAACATCTGCTAAATATCAGCCCTGTTATATTTTGTGTACTTTGTAAAGATCAGTGTGCTTCAAATTTGAGCAAGGGAAACAGAAAAATTATAATAGTTTTGTGAACCCCTTTTCAGTACAAAACAATTTACCACATTAACATTTACCACATTTAACAATCTGGTTGCTGATAGAGAAAAGAGGTACAAGCCTGAGTTTCCATTAATCCATGTGGAAAGCGCAACATCAGTTAGCTGGAATATTTTTTAAAATAAACACAATTTTAATAAATGTGGATTATGATTGCCAAGAGGAATCTGCTTCCCTCCAGGACAACTTGAATCCTGACTTCCCCTGCTTGGAATGAGAAAATAGAGTTTTGGGATATGTAGTATCCTTTCCAAATGCAGTTTCTTTCCTGCAAGTCGTGATTCTGTAACTAACTTTGCCTACTGCACTTAAAACTGGCTGTGAGCTGAAAAGGTTACAAGGGGAAGAATTACCAGATTCAAGTTGGAAAAGTCGGTGTTTCAAATTTGCTAAAGCATTGTGGCGTTTGGCAGCCAGAGAATCAGACAGACCTGTGCAGATAAAAACAAAAGTTATAGTCAAGCAAATTTCCTAGGCTGTGCTGCTAGGAAAAATCCCCTGGATAAAATAAATTATTTTCCAGTACTGGCTTGCAAATGTATTTTTTAACATCAAGTGTAAAATAGATATTTCCCCAGCATTTTTTCACACTGTTGTTAATATAATGTATTAAAGCAAACTAATCAAAACATCCAATCCTATGAAATGCTGATAATTCCACTCTTTAAAAAAGAAACTGAAGCTTTATAAGTTGAAGCCTTTTGTTAGTTATTTCTGTGAAAATGTCTTTGCCGAAGAGAATTTGTTTAATCCTCCTACTTGGTAGTGAACTGGCACAAGGGATACTTGAGGAGGAAACAGTTTCTATGGCACCATGTGATTGTCTTTCTCAAGTGCTGGGTGTATGCTTTTTGTTTATCAATGGGAGCCATAAACAGTGGTAGTGGAAGGTTTTCTGGATAGTGAGTGGAAAACATCCAGCACTGCTTGCTAAAGATGGGAAACCACTGTAAAGGTAGATTCTTTTTTTTTCATACCACTTTCCACAGGTAACAGAGGTCCTACATGTAGAATAAAGTCATTAATGTACTCCCATGATCATAATCCACAATTCAAAATTGAAGCAAAAAGCAATGTAGAAGCACAAAAGGTTGCTGCATTCCCGAGCTGCAACATTGCAACTCCTCCTGCACTTCACACTCCATTAAAAAAACCCCATATGTGACCTAATACAGGGAGTCTGGGAATAATTCTGATAGTGCTTTAGCCTTGGCAGCAGACCTGGAGAAGCCATTTCTACATACATATACATAATATGTATATGCTGGAGTGTTGATAAGCTGTTCAATTCTCCTCTTCCCCAGAACATTGAGGAGACCTGCTTTTTAGAAAAAAATTAAACTGCCTGTTTCCTCCATTCTCTTTTCCTTCCTGTGCTTAACACATCTACTTCCTTGAGAGCACATGTCCTTCTGTGTTATCTGTTTCTAGTCATGCAGCCTTCATGACACAGGTCTCTTGCCAAAGAGGCAACTTTGCTTACCTTTCAGACCATCTCTTCCAGGGATACCAGGTAGCCCAGAAATTCCTGGACATTTACTCAAAGCATGGCAAGGCACTAACACAGCAGCCAGTGCTATGAGGATGGAGGATGAGTAAGACAACATGATTTCTCAGGCCAGCTGTAAAAAACCCACACATTTGTCAGGCAATGATTCTGTAAGAAATTGTAGACATTGGTTTACATAGCTTCACACTCCTGCCCCCCACCCCCCATCATCCCTTCTTGAAATTTACATTATTTCCTTGTTTAAATAAAATTTATAATTCAGGTGTAAGAGATTTCCCAGATTTATTTTGCAACCACTGTGTAGCTTATACACAAAACTCTTTCTAGACTGATAAACTTGGAATGGTGAAGATAAATTATCCCTTTCACTGTCACTGACTATATGTTGGATTAATCCTTGAGAAATGATAGGCTCAGAGGTAACTGATCTCACTTAAGCCATCAGTCCTTGCCTGCAAGGACTGTAATCACTCAGTGATGCATAGGATGCTAACCTGAAAAGCAAATCTCTTACAGAGGTACTTGTAAAGTTTGGGAGCTTGTTAAAGCCCAGCATTATCTAAGTACCTTTATTTGGCACAAACTGGTACTCTTTTACACATGGGCAAAACTTTATAGCTCAATTGACATTCTTATCCTGTTTTGAACAAAATTCCATGAGCTTCCAAATGCCAGTCAGTCTTGTAGAAAATGCATTTTTGCTGGTTGGCAATAGGCTTATTCATCTTTTATCCCTACAGATAAAACAAGAAGTAGGGTTTTATAATCTTAGTGCTGAGCTATTGTGACTAAAAAGCATTTTAATGTGGGTTTACAGCAGAGTGAGTGGGTGTGCTGTGCAGCTGTGAAACCTGAAGGACTATAAGATATTCTGGCATAGAAATATCTAGTTATTGACATCATTCAGTGAAACTAACAGGAGATAAAAAGAAAGGTTCAATATGCCAGAATGGGTATCCATTTCCAATGGGGTGATGCTCATTGGTTGACTCATACAAAACAAAACTTGCTATCCATTGCTTCACTTTTCTATTGGCACAAATCAGAGGATCCTGTACCTGCTCACTCTTAAAACCTTCCATCTTTTTTTAAAAATCAGCATTCACACATGCTAGATTCTAAATCTAGCTCCACTTAAAATTTAAACTAAAAGCTTAGTTGTCTTGAATGCTGTGAGATTATTAACACCTAGGTTCATCAGCTATAACAAGGTATTTGTCATTATATTTCAAAGTATATATGCCAAGCAGAATCAAAATATCAGTGTAGTGTCATTTATTAAATGAAAAGAAAAAAATTAAGATTTAAAAAATTTAAAAGAAAAAATATTGGTTTTGTCTTCCATATTGACCCTGCTATAGAAGACTCTTGAGATTATTTTTAATCTGCATCAGCAGCAACTTGTTTTTCTAGGGGACTGTCTCATCAAAGGCAATTTAATGCAACATACCCTTGAATACACAAATATCCAATTATGTCATAAATTTGCAGCACATAGGGATCATAAATTTATAGCATCTGTTTAACTAATAGCAGTATGGTTGAGAATTTGCACTTTAAAGAATGCAAAATCAAATCCACCTGAGAACACCTGTGCAGTATTAAAGGTGCTGTTGAGTTTTGTTTGTTGAATCTGAAGCATCTTGAGTTGTTTACTGAAGGCCAGCAGACACCTCTGGAAACACTGGCCAGTGACTCAGAGAGAGCAGGTTATTAAAGACCCCAAGAGAAACCTAGCTTAGGTGGCTAGGAATACTTACATCCTTGAGATAAGGAGATGCAATTACAATGTGTACCCTTTGCCTGGTGATGATCATTTGGGGAATTACATTTGAATGGACTGCTGCATCCAGCTCATAATTGGATTATGATGCAGAGTCAGACTCCTGATCTGTTATACAGCAAAATGGAAAAAACACAGCTCTTCAGTTTTAATGACCTTCATCAGTCATTACTATCTAGTGTCCTTCAGGCTTCTCCTTATCTACTAAAATTGCTAGCATAAGCAAAGTAAAAAAATTACTAATAAAGGGAAATATAATTTTTGAAGGTAAATATGACCACAGAAATCAAAAGGAATGGGTTTGCCTTCTAGCTGATATTCCTTGTGATTTATTAAAAGGAAATTCAACTTACCCTTCTGCTTCAAAGTGAAATGAAAAAGCAGTTCACACAAATCCCCTTTATATAGTGTCATGTTTGTTAAATGATATGGCTGAAGTGGAGACTGGATACTGAGGCCACGAATGAGCTTTTTCAGTTTTGCTGACATACGTGTTATGCAAATATTGAGTTCAGTTTTAAGGACTGAGAAATTTCTTTTTTTTTTAACAAAATAAAACCAAAGTTGTAGAAAATGCAATCCAGAACTAACAGATAACCCCAGATTCATAGACAAAAAATATACAAAAACATGAAGTAAGTTTCAGAAATTCTAGGTCATATTTAAAAATTGTTTGTTGTTTTGTAAAAGCGAAAAATGGTAGATGACCACCAGTGGCTCTTGTAAAAGGAAAGATACTCTTGTGGTTAATCTTAGGGAAGCCTGATACCTTCCAGGTAGTCTGACCCAGTAATCAGAATTCTAAACCTTGCCTTCCCTCTTTGTATCTGATGTATTTACCTTAATATAGTTTTCTAGCTATGTATTAGAATGCTCAGTGTTTCCACGAGCTTCTGGTCTCTCTTGCATGTACAAGACAGCTGATCCTCTCTTGGTCAGAGATGGATCTTGGAAAAAATACATGCACAAAATTCTCAAATGGACATAATTTTCAAGAAAAAAGGAAACCAGACGTTTTTCTCCACTTGTTTCCCAGAAATAAATATTGGAAGTTTGTAACTTCCTTCTGGTTCTGATGCCTTCTGCTCTAGAATGTTTGATCCTAGATGGGGTTTGTTTTATAAACCTCAGCAAGCCAACACATCAGTGCTCTCTTAAAGACAATATGTTTTCTATTTTTCATTTGCATTTTACTAAAACTATTAAAGTTTTGTCATCATCTCTAGTGTTATTATTTCTGAATAATTCCAGCAGGATTCACAGCTGCAAGCTAACGTTTTTAGGCTCTCTGTTCAGCAGTTAGAGATTTTTAATATCAACTGGCTGACCTAGCCAAGATAAAATAGCAATGCAGAAGATACATTTAGGATTCCACTTAGATCTAGTGCAGGCACTTAAATTCACTTCCATTCACAACTGTGAGCCTTGTCCTGCAGTTAAAATTTGTTCAGAATGGCCTGTTCTCCATCTCAGAAACCCATACAAACAGCAAACTGAGGGCAGATCAGGTGTCTTTCCCAGCAAGTGATCAGTTAACACTGACAAATGTATGTTATAGACAATATAGCTTCAAAGTCCTTCCTCTACCAGATGGGCAGCAGAGCACTGAATGCAATTAGTCCTTTTACAAGACCTCTCACCCAACCAATGGAAGCTATTTCTCTCTGTAGTCCAGATGAGGAAGATGTAAAAAACTGGTGTTGAGTGCATAAGATGTGGCTTAGACAGTACCCAACATATATTTTTTTTTTTTTTCTTCCAATTTCTGTTGGAGTTTGGAAATAGCACAGATACCAGGCAACTGAGCACAGCCAAAGACACAGGAAATTCTGCTTCTGGGTGGAAGCAGACCTCTGGGGTACATAGGAAATTTCTTCAATTCTAGAATACAGTGGAATTCTAGATTGTGGATTCTAGCAATGGATCCAGACTTTTACAAGCAATATTTTAAATTACTAGGTGCCCACTTTTTTTGGGACTGTTACCAGATCAAAATCTCATACAGATCCAATTTCTAGGCAGCTCTGCAACAGTGGTAAGGGCTAGTTTTTTGCTGCATCACTGCATATACATGCAGCTCTAATACAAGAACATGATGAGTCTCTGGAGATTTCTACAGTTTCTTCAACCTAAAACAGTTAATATTAAAAAAAAAATAAATTAAGGACTTGAAAACATTAAGCAGGGAGATCAGTAAAGCTCCACTAGCTATTGTCTCTGTCTATCTATGAAAGTGTAGCATGAGCAAAACGTGGCTTATGATCTAGGAAAACCTTATTAATTATTATCTTTTACCAAACCTTTTGAAGAAAGATACATTTGATAACAGTTGTTCTCCCATGAGTCAAATCATACTTACACAATGGAATCTGATAAGAAATCTAAAACATAATCCAATGTGCTAGATTACTTAGTCATTAAATTTACTTTCCTTAGTTATGCAGCAGAGAATGAGGGAAAACAAACGTGCTCAAACAAAGAAGGAAGTAAGTAAATATATTTTCCTGCAACCTAGCATCCCTGTAGAATAGCTACAAGGATGGGAATTCTGAATTTTGCAGGTAAATCTGTGTGGTAATGGCTGAAGGCCTTTAGCTGGGAAATACCCATAAAACTCAGCCAGGAAGCTTTAATGGTTTCAGTGGACCCCAGGTACTGCATACCTCTTTCTATCATTAGGAAGAACCATAAGAATGTTAAATATGCTGTGCTGACAGTGAATTAAACTTAAACCCTTCTCAATATCAGCAAAGGAGAACTTGGGGGGAAAAAAGGAATCTGATTTTCAAGGTGTCAAGCAGCCAAAAAGACTGCTGCTTTCTTTAACAGCTCTGCATGCTGCCCTCAAAAAACTAACTGCCAAGGGGGTTTCAGAACAAGAACTAATTTTATACTGCCTTTAAGCCTCTCATTTTCAGAACACAAGGTAAACTCTTTCACATAAAATAGTGATGTGTACAGCCTTGCTTGTTTATTTTAGCAATTTGTGAGACAATAATTTAAAATGTGTCACTGTGCTGCAAGTTCCGGATATTGACTCTGAGCGAGTCCTTGGCACAGCAGCTGTGTGGTAAGCAGGTGTGGTCAATTCTCCATGTTTGCCTCTTTTGAAACAACAGTAATTTCTTATATTTTTCTAGTATTTCCACTGTAATTTATTTGCTGAGCTTTAAATCATACAGAGTTAAGCATCTGTAATTACTTTTAAGAGTCTTCATTGGCATCAGCTTAAGAATTCATCAGCAATACAGGGCAGTAAATATATGTCAACTCTTAGGTCACAAAACAATCCAATAGGTGAAGTGTTACCTCCTCCCCACCTGCAATTTAATTTTATTGACACAAAACTAAACAATAATATGGGAAGTTTAACAGTCCCCCACCTTTGGAAAATAAGAAGCATTGATAAAATAGTCTGTATGCTAATTTACAGTGCATTGATCCAGGAATGGGAGGAAAAAAAATGTAGGCAGTGTGGCACTTTATCACACTGCTAATAGTGAAAGAAAATTCTGCTGTGTGTGCCCTAGACCTTAACTTGAGGATAAACATCTTACAGGAAGAATGAAATTGCTGATGAGACATGTTTATATTGATGAAAAAGCCATGGCATCAGAGAAATACTGTCAGCTCAGGCATATAATGTTATTTTGGGGAGTGGATCCCAGGGAGATTTCTAGGTTTAAGTGTACACAGGTGGATGGAGAAAAAGAAAGAATACTGAATATAGATCATGAGTTTCCAAACAGGAGACAGCACAGATGAGGAACAGAGCTTGGAGTGTTGGATCTTAAAGAGCTGGATTCACCAGACTGAGCTGAACAGCCCATGCATAGCCTTGTTATTCCAAAGTATAAAAATTATACATTCAAGACAAAAATATAAATAAATAGAAAGGAAAAAATAGAAAAAAAAAATAGAAAAAAAAAAAAGAAAAAAAAAAAAAGGCTTCAAGCAGACCCCAAATCCCTTTCAATCTATCAATTTTCCATTCTAGGAAAAGCAATTCAAACTATGCTATCAAGAAAAGAGGTGACCAGGTTTTCAGTTTTTCTTAAAAAATGTCATGGTTCTCTCCTGCCAAAGAACGTGCAAGTTAAACGTGTTAATAGAACTTTTGTTTTCAGATTATATTATATTCCTTCTCTCTCATATACTTGAAATAATTGATTTAAATACAGATATCAAAGTGGTCTCTTGGGTTTTATGAAAATGATAGGTGTGTTGCTACAGTCAAATCATTTTGACTGAACTATTGTTTCTATGCTTTGAATTAAAAAAGGAGAAAACCAACTAGAGCACACTAAAACGAAGGCATCAAGCAGCTCTTGCTTTGACAATAATAGACTTTTAGACACAGCCTTCTTCTTTCCTTTGGGCAGAACAAAGTGCTTTATTCCTTCTCCCCATATTCTTTATCCAGGTTTGGTAAAAATTTTGGCCATACTATAAAATTAGCTTCTGGCTTGTTCTTTCATAAACAGAAACCAGAAATATTTCACTCTAAATTTCCAACCTTGTAATGCTTTCAAATCTTCTTCTTACCTGTTTCAGAGCTAGAACAACTAAAGTTTAGAGACATCCTATTCCTAGGATCACTGAGAAATCTTGTTGGTTTGGTTTTTTCCCTCGGATCTTCAATTCACCTTTGTATCCTGTAGGATTACATTACAAACTCTAATTCCTCCTTGCATCTTCTGCACCAAGTAGCAGGAATTTCTCTTACAGGAATACTACACAACAGTATGGGACATGATTCCTACTCCTTGTTCAACAACACAACAAAATTACTTGCTGCAGTGTCAAATAGGTGTGTCATGGTGGAGTAACTATTGCCTTCTTTTACTGGAAACAGTGCAAAGAGTAATGCTGGAGGTGTCCTGCCACTTTATGTTCCCATAGAGAAGAACTAGACTGTTTACCTTCCATCAAAATTGGTAATAGGAAGCAATTTATGCCTGAACAGCCACTGGCCAACATTACCTTGGAAACATGGGCTTGCAATTCATATCTTGCCCTTATAAATAGCCACATGGCTCTTGTTATCAATTTAAAATAATCTAGCCTGATGATAGAAAAAAAAATGCTACCAAGCTCTTATTATGTTGTTATTGCTGGGGAATGGCTGTGTTATATCTCACTGGAAAGTGTTAGAGCATATGTATCCAAAAGCTGTTAAAATAAAACACTGTTTTATTTGCAATTGAAATTCAAAATCCTTCGGAGAAACTTGTTGTTGGAAACACATGGCAGAAAATACAGAGTAGCAAAGGAAAATAATAAACTCACCAAGCTGCTGTTAAGGTCTGATGATCACAGTGAAATGAAGCTGCTTTGTATTTTACTGAAGAGACACAACCATTAATGAAATTCCCAGCAAACACCACCTATTGTGGTTTTTATTGCTGTTATGAGCTGAAAATTAAGATAACAGGTGTTACAGAATTCTACTTTTCACAGATTTTTTTCAGGAGAGTGAACACAAAATTCTCTGTGTTTTAGCTGGTTGTGTTGTTGGAAGCATGTAGAGCTTAACATACCAAATCTGCTTCTTTTGCACATTTAGATTATAATTTGTGCAAAAGCAGAGGAGCATTTTCTAGCAGACAGCTAGTGAAGTATGTCATCGTTTCAGTTCCCCTGAAAAGCACAGATGCTGAGCACCTGATGGGTCAGTGAGGCACAGCCCAGCATCCACCCAGCTCCTGCAATTCCTCGTGGTGGTTCTGTGCTTCATCCCCAGGGGAGCAGCTCAGGGCTGGGGGCTCAGACAGCAGGAGCCAGCAGGGTTGCACCGAGCTGGAGTGTGCTGACATGCAAAGGAAAGCTGTAAATGCCCAAGGAAGCAGATTAATCTCCTTACCTTGTATTGATACATCTCAGCTGGCTTGAAACTACTTGAGGTCCAGTTATTGCAGAGGCTTCAGTGCAGAAATATGGGAAATATCTTGGAAGGTTCCTGCAAGGGTAAACGGGAAAAGCTCTAGTTAAAGCCCCTTGAAGTTCATCTAATAGACAAAACCAAGGAACAGATGAAGACTCAAAGAAATAGAAACACAGCAAAGGGGAATGAATAGAGTTCTACACCCTCAGATTCTCTCTCAAGTGATGGGAAGATCTTGAATGTTGCTTGAGGCCAAAATGACTCAAACTGAAATTGTTTAGTAGGTTATTAAAACACAGCAGACTTAACTTGAATGACAAATCAAAGAGAATGTTTAATAACTATGAGAAATATAATAACCATGAATGTCAACTACTTAACTAATAAAATATCGTTTTGCTATTCCATGGGGGTCACCCCTTACATCCTTTATACATCTTTATATGTAGTTTAGAAGATTTAACACTGTTTTTGTTAATAAGACAAGAGAAACTCTACACAATTATTGATAATCATTTCAGCTACCTATTCTAGTATAAAAGATATCTTTTATAGTATAATGAAAGTATTCATTATCTTTATTTATAAATCAGTTTTGGCACTCCACTTGGATTTGAGGACTCATTCTAGGCAGACAGGAACATGCTCACTTCCTAGGAAAGGGAATCTACGCAAGAACTCTTCAAACGTGCTCATTTTTCAAGTAGTCTCACTGTTTGTCTGCCTTACCAGAGCGTCCCAGGGACCCAAGGTAGAGAACAGGTTCTCCCCAGCTGTGCCTGGGCTCAGCCCTGCCCTGGGTACACTGGAGTGCCTCTTTCACAAGGTCAGGCCACTGCCATTGTTCCTGTGGACAATCCTCTAAAGCTGAAGTGACTTTGATTATTAACTTATAAAATTCAGCTTTCAAAATCTGGAGAACAACTGTGCTCCTAAATGTTTTGGTACCAGTGTCACCATGCTGGTAGAGCATTGCAGTAAAGACAAAATTCTGAAGTATTTTGAGAATATTTGACAAAAATGAACTTTAAGACTGCAGCATTCAAAACCATTGGAGAGCTCCCAGTAACCTGAGACCAAAAGTAATATATAAATTTCAGTGAAGTGATATATAACATACTTAAGCACTGTAGACACATTTGAAATATTTCTTAAATAGCTTTTATAACTGCTGTTGTGTCAGGAGCTGAAAATTTTGTCATCCAGTGTTGCCATATTGTTGCTAACACTTAATTCCCACTTATTAAAAATACAGGTTTTGCTTTAAGATAGAATTTAAAACATAATGTTATAAAGAAACAAACATTTTCACTTTGCTTGTAGAACTTTTCCATTGAAAGGCCTTTAACTTTTTTTTACCATTAGTCATGAAAGCTAGAAATGCACTTCACTTATGAAAATGAAAGATGACATTCTCCAGAGGGTGGCAATTGCAGCTTGAATTTTCTACTACTACCATGCAGTAGAAAATAACAGCCCATAGAAGACCATCAGAAGCTTCAAGTTAATATTTGCTCCACTGGTTTTTGATGTAAATAAAATATCTACTTAGCAGGCTTAGGAAGTACTATAAGTAACCCCCTTTTTTTTCATTTTATTTGCAGCTGTAGAATAGAAAGGTAAAGAGGTAAAAGGATTTAAAAAGTACATCACTTCCTCCTGTTTTCACCATGCTTTTGTGAATTTGTATGGTTGCTTAGGCAGGGTGGAGAGGGTGTAAGGGGATGGAGGAGTTAAAAGCTTGTGATCTGTAGGCAGTGTAGTTCTGATCAAACCACTTCTGAGTGGGACACCTTTACAGAGGTGTCACTGGATATGTAAAGTGCAAAATAGGAGATAATCAAGAGAGCAACTAATGCAGACTATATGATTTTGCTGAAGAGGTTTCAGGACCTCCAACTAAATTTGGTGAAACACTGTGTCCATCTCAGTTAAAGAAGTTTGTATGGTTCAGCTTCTCTACATAGAAAGAAAACATTATAAATGTGCTTGGGTATAATTCTTGGGGCAGGATGGAAATTTGCATGGAACTTTTTTCCTACATAGCTGAAGCACAAGGCAAAGGTGGCCAAGTGTTGTAGCACAACCCTGCAGGTGGGAAGGAGGGGAAAATATTCTGTTCAGGATCCTCCAAGTAAGCCCAGGCAGACTGATGAGGAAAGGAAGAATGAAACACTGAAACTGAGGCTGCTGCACTGCTGAGCTAGTGCAGGTCTGTTTGCATGAATCCCAGTTTAGCAATCTCAGACTCAAATCAGACACTTAAATGTGGCTCGGCTGCTGCTCTCACATTCTGTGTATTTAGCCCAGCTGCTTGAAATTTTATCTGAATTTCAACATCCTGGAAGAGGATGCCAACCAGTTGCACACTCTAGAGTCTTCCTCCCACTGCAAATATGCCAGAAGTTTCTTGCAGGATTAGCACACAGGCTCAGTGCTGAGGGACAAACTGTGCCACTAGCTGAAGTCATAAACAAACCAGAGCTCACAGAAAGCCAGGAAAAAGCTCTTACAACTGTCAGCCCTGAAGCACTGATCTAAACAGCTCAAGCTGCTGGTGTCTGAATCTTCACTGGGGTGACAGGCCATAAAAAGAGATTTTAACTGCAGGTGCCTCAGGAAAAAAGTCATTTGTGCTACAGAGAGCACAGAGTATCCAGTCCTGCTGCTAGTGTTGAGAGGTTTAGCAGAGCTTAAAAGAGACACAACTGTGCCTAGGTTTTCAGGCAATCTTGCATTATTTATTCCCCTGAGCCTTTTTGGCCAAACTGCAACCCAGGAATCAGTTTTCATTCCTTAGGTCTCCAGGTACCAAGCAACAGAGTAGAGCTATTTGGTAGTGCTAAAGTCACAGAGCCCTGAATAAAGCTTCTCCTCTGCATGCTTAAGCTGAAGAGTTTGATGCCTTCACAACAGGAAACAAGCCACAGCAAAGAACACACTTCTCTGCTCTAAGTATATGTTAACCACCTGCCCCCCCATATTTGTAAGTAAAAAATAAAGCAGTAAATATGAGTTCCTACTGATTGAATGGCTTCCTGTTTGCACCTTGTAGTTTCCATTGAAAATTGCCACTTGAAAACTAAAGAGAATGAAAAGAGCTTTTCAATGATTGTGTTTTTTCACATGTGACAGGATAGCTCTTCCTGAGCCTGCACTTAACCTGAAATTGTGTTTTAGAAAGATAAACACAGGAGCTTATTAAGAAATGATGTTTTTGTCCTGAATTACTTAGAAGCTCTGTGGAGGTCATATTAGCACCATATGAGCTGGTTCTAATCAGGGCTGTAACAGCAAATACAGATTAGTTTATAATTAATGCAAAATTAAATGGTCACCAGGGATGCTGATTTAAGCCTCCTGGCTTAAAGAACATAATTTCAAACTCTTTCTTTTTAGCACCTACTGAAGAAAGGTGTTCCACAAGGAAGAAAAAGTGTCCCTAACATAAATGATGAAAAAGGTCAGAATATAGGGCAGATCTGATAACACCTTGCTGAATTTAAAAGTTCTAAGTAATATGACTCAGTAAGAGCTCATTTTCTATTTCTAGGTGTGGTTCGTGCCCTGTGGACTTTTGTCCAGCCTGAGATCAGGCTGTTCCTACAGGCTTCCAAGATGTCAGACTGCAGCATCACCATTCTGCTCCTCTGAGCTCTGGCTCAGGACAGGAGAGTTTACCAGGCAAGCCCAGACTAACAGAGCTACACTTGCACAGCCACTCTTCCAGAGCAGCTCCATTAGAGATGGATTTTCACCAGTTCCGTAAAGAACAGTTTGGTTTTCTCAAATGAAAGGGAAGCTGGCAGCTTCCCTTCTGCACAGGAGGTGTTACAGCTGGGGGAGCATTTCCCTCGAGGTGGTTTACACCAGGGCAAACCTACAGAGCAGGAAATACTGGAAAGGAGAAGTGACACCAGAATGGAGCCTAAAAGCATAAGGACTGGCAGTTTATTTCAAGAAGCGCAGCTCAGATTTTCTATAATAGACCCAATCCTTGCTGCCAAATATGCCTTTCCTGTACACAGCCTGGTTAAAAAGTTAATTATCTGGTAACTTTGGACCTAGGAAACTGAGCACACTATAGGAATGTTTTCTCATTCTGCTTTTGTGAGCTTCCAATGTGTTTAGCATACGAATACTTTTGCACTTACCTGCAAACCATTTTATTGTTTGTATAGATCCCATGTGAATGAAGCACACTGCTCTCTGAAAATAAATGTTAGCTTAAGGTTACAGAAGCTTCTTAAATTTCTCAACTCTGTTGGATATTAGCTGGGAAAAATAATGTAAAAATCCGTCTAAATTACACTTCAGAGCTGAAATCTTGAGAAAGTGGCTGATAAAGTAACCAGGAATAGTATTTCTAAAATAATAAAACAGTTGAAAGAAAACAACCATTCATATCTTCAAAATACGACTCCTTTTTTTTTTTTTTTTTCAAATCAGTAGTTTAGTCATTGCAACCTACTGGCTGATGCACTGGGGGCAAAACACATCACTTCTCTTACACAGCTCCAGATGAAAATGGTCTCAAAACCTTTCACAGTGGTTTTTGGAGACAGTCTCAAAATAGACTTACATAATCATTCCAAATAAATGCATTGGAGACTGAATTATCTCTGATCCCTAAACCCAAATACATCTTTTAAATATTGCACCATATCCTGTGTTTTTAGGTAATAAATATTGATTAAAAACTTCCAGGCAAAATTTTAAACATTCTGTTTTTCATAGCTGCAGGACACCAATTAATGCAGAAAAGGAATGCCGTTCACTTGAGAACTGCAAAGACACTTTGCCAGTAATGACAAGGAGGGAATGAAGCAGATCAGCAGATAAATCATACTCTGGAAAATTCATATCCTTTACCAATTTCAGTAATTGCTTTTTTGCTGTACCTGTATAACCTAGTGCAGAGAAAATAAATGTCATTACTTATAAAGGTAGGCAGGGAATATGGCAATGAAAATAACAGCTATAAAACAGATGAGCTGGGCATCAAATGCTCCTTTGTACAGACACATTCCTATGCTCCCATGGGTCCATAACTTGCCAGTGTAGCCACAATCTTTCTCTCCATAGAGGCACTTAGCTTAGTCTTAAACTAAGTGGAAGACAAATTGAAAATCTGTTCTTCCATGGTTAAACACTTACAGCCTTCAATGGAAACATTTTTCTTAATTGTCAGACTTGTAGTACTGGGTTCTGTTGTCATGATATTCACTCGTTCCTAGTTAATACAGTCCATAATTGCATTTTTGTAGTTCACTTGAGGTGAAAGAAGCTCCCATCAATAAAAACATAAAAGCCTGTAAGATCACTTCTCTCACATTAAGGACCTATCACATAAACAGGGCATTTTGCTTTTTTTTCTGCATGAGCTAAATTCCACTTGGAGAACATTTCAGTAGCAGGCTTTTGTATTTAATTTAAAACAAAAGGTTTATCCTTTCCACTGCATCTAAATCTTGATTTATATCTCCTGTACCTCAGCTGATGCCTATAGATTTCCAGAAAACATCATCTTGTTCTCTTCTCATGATTTTCTACTGCACACAAAGCAACTTGGCTGACTGGTTTACTGTTTTATTCCTCTTTGTAGTTACAGCACAATTCATTTTCCAATCACACGGGGAGAGCAGCATGAAAATAGCTGAAACTTCAAAAAAGAAATTATTTCCATGTCAGTAGCTACTGCAGTGGACTTCTGTACTCAGAGAATAAATACCACTCTAGGCTCTAAGTGATCATTATCAGTCAATTTTAGAACTAGAATAAAAGTGCCCCAGGAGCAAAGGCATCACTAAATGCTGAAGAAACATAGGACCATATGGCTGTCCATTATTTACATCATAAAAGAATGTATCAGAAGCAGAAAGAACCACTAGCCTGCTGAGCATGCCATAATTTACTACCCTTATACCACTAGAATAAACATATTTTAATACTTAATGATTGAAAATATGAAATCTGTATTTTAACAGGAGATTCAAAACTGAATGTCAAAGAGAGAACAACTATAAATACACCCTGTTTCTGGGTATTCCAGGCCCCTTTTAGGGGCACAGCACAAGTACATCCACCATTTTACCAGGCTGAAATGTAAACTTACCTTTACCTTACCTTTTTTGTGTCTATTTAATTCAATCTCCAAAACCTGTGCTTTTGTTTCCAAAGCAGTTACTTGTCTCTGCCAGTATAAGCGGGACGTGAGGCTGTTATTTAATACTTTATGTTAAAATGACTGCACAGCAGCAGTACCAAAGATGCTCTGCTCTCCTGTAATCTGATGCCACGTGAAAGAGATATTTGGTTTCCAGAGCAGAAATCACAGGCCACAGTGCAGATTTGTTCAGGGAATTTGTCCAACTGGGAGTGCCTTACCCCTGACCAAAGTGAACACTTGGATAGGCTTTGAATTCTCAGGGCTGCCAAAGCCATCTTCTCTGTTCAGAGGGAAAAGCCCAGTTCTCAGAGGCAAAACACACATGTGAACATTTTGAAATTAATTAAAGTTGGAGTGAAAACCACATGGACAGGCAAAAATAAGAGAAGACAAAATGCTGTTTATAATATGAGATAAAGGGCTTGGTATTTCACTCACAGAAAACAACTGGCTAGTGACTCATTCCAGACACTCTCTTTCTCCAGTCCTGCTGGGCAATCTCATCTCCTGTGTAGCAGATGGTTTAGTTTTCTGTTCCTCACATGTGATTCTGGAAATCACACCTTTCCTCAAGTGATGCTATAGGAATACCAGACACTAACACAAGTATTTTTGGGGAACAATACTACAAGGCTGAAAACCAGACTCATAGAAATATGAGCAATTTATTTATAACTTCCATATTCTACTTCTATTCCTCTCTCCCCTTGTGGTTCTGAAGTTCCTTTTATTCCTGAAGGTCTCACTTTTCCAGGGAAACTCTATAGGCCTCTTGAATCTTCTAGAATTTCATTTTTTAAAAAAAATCATTCAAAGGTTTCTAAATTTTTCTCCCACTGTGTTTTCTATAGTTTTGAGAGAACACCAAACAGTGGCTCCTTCCCACCTGTCCACCCCCAGGAAAATAAAAAACATCTCAGGAAAATTGAATTATTCCCATGGAAAGCTTCATTTGCTAGGAAATGCATTACTTTGATGAAAAAACCTTTACTGCCTTATAGCACTGAAAATCCAGTGAAGTAAATGCCCTTGTGCTGTTGCAGAGGTACACATTCTCTTAAACCAGAAAGCCTATCTGTAATCAGCTGTAATCCAATCACACAGCACAGTATATGATCTAGAAAATAATCACAGCATTATTAAGGATTCCTCTCTGGAGTGTTTGTTGAAAGATACTGCTGGCTTTACTTATTTCAACCATGGAACTGCAGAGGGCACACTGAGAAGTGTGTGGACCAGAAGATGCCCATACAGAATATCCATGTGTACCACTGAAATTTTATGTCATTGTTCATCTAAAGTTATAATGTTGAGACTTTCTTTGTGGCTGGAAAGCAAGCACCTAATTCCAAGGTGGGTGTTATGCACATGATGGCACAGATGGGATATGGCAAGAAAATATACAATTCCATATGTACTTATTAAGAGTTTGGGCAGAAACTGATTTGGCAGCTCAGGAGAGAGCATGACTTGGTTCTGCCACGTGGCAGAAAGTATTTGTGGATCCATTTGCTGTTTGCAGCAGCACTTGGAAAAAGTTACCTGGCAAATCATACCTTGGGGGAATTCTGCTGTTGGGGCATAGAGAGTATGAAGCAATCAAGTTATGACCATCAGATTAGGAGGCAGCTCTAGCAAGCATGATTTCTGGTTTTGAGAGCTGGCCCCTGGAAAGAAAGAGCAGTAATAATTTAGTAGGATATAATAGGAAGTGATTCAGAGTACAAATGGTACGATCAGATTAAAATCTCATTACATCTCTATTTTATGGGCTGCTGTGAAAATGTATAATATTATTTTTTATTTATTAAAACCAAGTATCTAGAGTGGCATTATAAATGCAGAAAGCATGTTCAGCTTCCTGAAATTTTGCACAGCCTACAAAAGGCTAATGGGGGAGAAGAAAAGGAGAGAAGTAAAAAACAAAATTAAAGATTGAAGGAGGCTTGAAACAAGAGTAAAGGAATGATTAAGGAGTCAAAATTACAGCATTTGTAAATGGTCATATCTGTTCACCATTTGCACTTTTGGGACCATCTCTAGCTGGTAAGACACTGGCTGCAAGAGCACTGAACTTCTGGGCAGGAATAAATGTGCAGATTATTCTGTGCTAACTGTACTTCTTACTGTTAGCAGTGAAAGAAAGCCAAAGAATCACTGCTAAGTCCATAGATCAGGGACGAATCAAACAGAGTCATTTAATAAATTTCTCCATTTGCATAATTTTGAGGGGTTACCTGGGAAATACACTCCTCTCTTCAGGCAAAACAGATAGTGTCTGAACCATTTCATGTAGTCCCTGATTGTATGTGTATATTTTGAAACCTGGAAAGAAACAATCAAGCTTATAACAGTCTGAAAGCCTTGAGGTCTAATGAAAATATCTAATATCACAACAGTCATTAATCTCATCGTGCTACAAATTAATTTCAGTGTTTTGTTCATTATATGCCTACATTTACAGCATTTATCTTCATGCCAAATGAATCATACAATATTCCAGTTGAGGATGAATCCTCAATAGCTCATTGTGTGTCTGCTGGGACTCTTCACACCTGTCAGGTAATGCCTAAGCTCAAAGTGATTAAGTGCTTCTCTTATTAGGATTTCTACTACTTGCAAATAACCACAATTTAAAGATAAAAAAAACTCAACTATGTTTAAGCAGCGCTGATCTGAATGCCTCCTCTATTTCTCCTTTCAGACCTTTTATATTAAAAAGATGCATTTCTCCTCAGCATTACATCTCAGAGCTGAGCTCCTTATGGATTCCAAAAGATCTGCAATCCTTTGCTGCCCTCTCGGAGCAGAACAGCAGTAAGAGACAGCAACATCAGAAGGTAAAGCTCTGACAAGCTGCACCACCATGATTGCCCTTGTTTTCAATTTGAATGTCAAATGAGAGGCAATCATACTCCACATATTCTCTTTAACTGAAAAAACCTCAAAATTAAACTACCACAAAGGTGAGTTGACAAACTTTTATAGTAAATAAGCTACACATTAAGTCAAGCAGCTTTAGTTTCTCTTAATTTCTCCCAGTTCTACCAGCCAAAAAAAGAAGCCTTGGGAAACACCATTTGGTTGACAGATTTGGGTAACAAGAGAAAAATCAAATCCAGCATGAATTCTGCTATTCACCTCAATTCTTTATTTTAAGCCTCAGAAAAGATTTCCCACAGAGAGCATCTTCCCCTGTAAGGTTTCATCTGATGAAATACCAGATAGAGTATAATCATTAGAATATTACTGTAAGAACATTATAATTAGGATAAAAAGCAGAGGTTAAGGAGCACCATTTTTCTATATTATTCTTTGTGCTTATTCCATTAGTCTCCCATCAAATTCTAGAGCAGTGGCACACACTAAAATATGATAAGGAAGGTATTTAGCTAACTAGTATAACAAACTTGAATCCTGGTTTATATTTCTTATCCAATTTCATGAACTCCAGACAGATCTTAACACCCTCTAAGGATTTCCTTTTGCTGATTTGCTATACTATGTTAATTATCCAGTACTAAGGAAGTTGACATTGCGGATATCTCCCTTGAAGGTAACAAGACAAAGATCAAAATAAAATAAAACTTGAAAACAAATTGCAAGGCTTCAGATAAGTCCTCTCCCTGCAGAGGTTCAACCTCACACAAGTCTCTGTTGGTTTTGCCAGCCAGGAGCTAAAATCTATTCGCCTCCATAGTTTTCCAGGGTGCTCCAATCCTTTATCCTAGAAGAGCCCAAGTGCCTGTTTACACTTTGGCAAAATGGTGGCAGGTTTTCCTAGCAATTAAATCACTTTCCAAAGCAACTGATGACAATTAGCACCAATGCACCAAATTTCTCACAAAAATTGAATAAATCTAGGGAGCTGAAAAAGAAAAAAAATAGGTTTTGCAATCCATACTTATATTCATAGAAGGATAGAGAATTCCACATGGAGAATCACATTGTGTGGATTTAATGACAGTGTTCAGGTCCCTATTAGATATATATATTAGATAAAGCTTGCACAGTTTGAGATTTCTCAGCAGAGACCAGAATTAGGCTTTGAAAGATGCCTTGAAACTTATATTTAGGAGGTAGCTAGTTTGGAAGGTCCTTTTCAAAGACAGAAGTCTCAGGTAATTAATTTTTCCTCCTTAAAATATGCTTTAAGCCATGATTGACACAATGTAGATGATGGCAGAGAGGTGAACCTGGTGAGGCAGCAGGAAGTTCTTTTTCCAGACCTAGTCTTGGAGGTGACAGCTCCTGGTCATCAACTCAGAAGCTCAAAACCACCAGACAGCAGAGGACAGCTCTGTTGAATCAAAGTCCTAGGAAACCTGTATTTACACACAGACTACTCAGGGGCAGGGTGCTCTCAGACTGTGAGATTGTACCCTCCTGACAGTCCTCCTTGTCAGCTTGCTGGGGAGCAGCCTACAAAATCCTCTCATCACTTCTGCATCAGCCTGCAACGGCTGCCTGGCCCCAGCACAGTCAAATACTTATTCCAGCAAAGGAAATCTGTTCCCAGCACCTTTCCCAGACCTGCTCACAGTGAAGCTTTGCTGCACCACCAGCTTGCCTGGCAGTCAGAACAACAGAATTCTGGAGAGAAAAAGTGAAACAGAAACTGGCTGAATTTTTAGCATGAGGACTAGCCAAGGAATATCCTCTACATTTCTACTCAAAGCTGTTATTTTGTGCTTTGCTTTGGGAAGAGGTTGCTCACTGGCTTATCGCTGTCTTGCACAATCCTGATGATTGCCCACCTCAGTCTTCCCACCCCTATTTACAGGGGCTGCATTTGGCATTCCAGGGGTGAGCCCTTTGCTCTTTGCCTGGCCTTGGGCAGACATTGGCTGTGCTACAGTGCAAATGAACAACCCAAGAATCAACTGCAGGCACTGAGTTTTGACTGTAAGGTTTTTCCCCTTTTTTCAGCCAGTGGATATATTTTTCAGTAACCTAGGAGAGGGAAGGTTATTTGAGGCCTGTTTTACTGCAGTGACTGCCTTTCCTGCAACTGGCAGTGCCCAGATGGCCAAGGTTCCATTGTGTGGACATGAAAAGTACAGTAGCAAGAA